TTATATGACATTACTTGTTAATAAATTGAATGGACGAACCAATATAATAAACATTATTTGTTGCAATATAATACAAATCGTTTCACCATGATTATACATAAATGTTATAATTAGCTCATCTTTCTAATTACTATTAATGAAATTATTTTTCTGAGCAGTGCACTCACCTTGACAATCTGATTATGTTCACATTGGGGCAGTCATAATCTCCCAGAAAATCTTTGCTCCCTCCATTCCACTGGTACAAAGAAAGAGTACATAGCTGTCTTAGCATTTGAAAAGGACACTCGCCAGATTTCCACCTGCCACTTCATCACAGTTACTGTCATTATACACACTGCCTGAATGGCATGAACTTTCAGAACAAACTCCATTATAATTTCAACCATGCCCGTTGGCGTCTAGCTGTCCTTCATCTCTGGCTGTTTAAGATATGGAACAGGGTTTTAGAAACGAAGGATTCATTAATCGAAAGTGAAACTGCAGTGTCAAATATTAAGGGCAGTGTCAAACATCAGCAACAAATTTATTCAACAAAAATAATTTTAAAATGCTTGCAAAAACGTACTACATCCATTAAACTGGTCCAACAAAGCAAAACATTACCACCTCAACACTTGGTTCAACCTTTAAGATGATGCACTAGTGTCATGGTCCTGAAGCTGCCAGGCTCTTTCAGGCGGCATCAGTACATGACAACAGTGACTCATATAATATATATATACATACTCCCTTTGTTTCACAATATAAGTCGTTTTAAGAACTTACACAATGATTAAAAAACAAAATATATGACTATTTAACCCTTAATTAAGATTAAACACATTTAATTATCCCACTTTTCCCTATACTTCTATTACTCTTATTTTCTTTTTCTTTTTTATCAAAGTAAATTTATTTATAGAAAAACCTTGTAACACTAAGACATACTGATCATACTGCAATCTGAAAATTGCATCATCAATTAAGAGTCCCTGGAAGACAGACCTTCCAAGACTTTACAAAAAAAAAAGAGCATAAACAAGCCTACAACCAGTAGGCAGCATACAAGCAGCCCAGGGCACTGCAGACTACCCTTGCTCGGTCATAACAACTCTCCACCCCAACAGCAGGTCTGAAAACTTAATCTTTTTCCACAGCTCCACTGCCATGGTCGACATAGTTAACCAATTCCACACAGCCCCTTTGATGTTCAGCAGGACCTTGCACCTTTCAGCCTTGCCGTCATTGAAAATTACATCGTTTCTAGTCTTCCAAATGACTGCGTAGGGCAGGCCTGACCAGATTTCAGATGCCACCTCTCTACTGTTGAAGACCGGCCAGTGCATTAACAGTTCTGCAACATTGCTCCAGTTCTGCAGATCGTGTTTTGCCCCCGGGTGGACTACCAATAATTCCTCCCAAATACCTCTAACAAAACTGCAGTTAAGAAAGAGATGCTCTAAGGTTTCAGCAGTACTCTTGCACAGGCAACACCTATTAGGATAACCATACCCCTTTTCACCAATTTATCAACAGTTAGTATCCTTTGCCAATGGAGTGACCACATGAAAAACTTGACATTCGTGGGAATACGAGGTTCCCAAATAACCTTGCATGGAAAAATTCTTCTAACTTCATTCCTTGGCCTACCATTATCAATAAGAAACTCATAGCAAGATTTTACCGAGAAAAGACCGTTCTTTTCTTTTTTCCATGCCCAATCGTCATCCTCTTCTGTCAAGGTCACATTAAGGAGAATAGCCATTAGAGCATCAAGTTGAGCTTGTTCGCTCTCTCGAAAACGCGACCTTCTCAAGTGAAGATTCCATTGTCCCCCATTCTCATAGTGCTCTCTCATCGTTCCCCCTTTGAGGGAAGCATACTTGAAGAGCTTGTGAAACCTTCTCTTGAAAGGATTCTCTCCTATCCAAATGTCGTGCCAAAACTGGGTTTTATCACCCCGATTTACTGCATGGTTGATGCCATTGAAAAAGACTTCTTGGGATGCTTGAATGTTTCTCCATAAACTACACCCATAGCTTTGTGTTGCTAGGGTGGGTCTCCCCCCATGGTCACTAGATCCATACTTGGCATCTATGACCTTTCTCCATAACATATTTTTTTCCTTTCCATACCTCCATATCCACTTCATAAGTAGGGCTTGGTTCATAACCTTGATTTTCCGGATTGCAAGACCTCCCTCTTCCCTTAAGGAGCACACATTATCCCACGCCACAAGGTGTATTTTTCTTTTCTCTTCACACGAACCCCAAAGAAAATCCCTTACAATTTTGTCAATTCTACTAGCAACACTAGATGGGATTGTAAGCAAAGAGAGATGGTAAATAGGAAGGCTAGCAAGGGTGCTTTGAGCAAGAACCAACCTTTCTCCCTTAGAGAGAATCTTCCTCTTCCATCCGCTTAAGTACTTTTGGAAATTTTCAATCACCGAATTCCATACATCAACGTTCTTGAAATTAGCCCCAAGTGGAAGCCCAAGGTACCTCAAAGGAAGAGCACAAGTCTCGCACCCAAAGAAAGAGGCCATCTCTTGGAAATTTGGTACCCTTCCCACTTCGGCGATAAGAGATTTTGCCAAGTTAACTTTAAGCCCCGTAACGCCTTCAAAAACTAGCAAAATAGTGTTGATAGTGGCAAGAGATTGAAACGATGCCTTAGTGAGGAAAATAGTATCATCCGCAAATTAAAGGATACCCACTTGAATATCACCATTACCAACATGAAAAGGTTCAAGGAGCCCATCTTGGATACAACGAGAGGTAAATCTAGACAAGGCTTCCATAACTAAAATAAAGAGAGATGGAGAGAGAGGATCACCTTGTCTAAGGCCCCTTTGTGCTTTGAAATTGCCGCTTGGCTCACCATCCACCAATAAAGAAAACCTAGCCGTCGAGATGCAAATATGAACCCACTTCCTCCACTTAACTCCGAACCCCATACGCCCAAGGACGTAATCAAGAAAAGCCCAATTCACATGACCATAGGCTTTAGTGATGTCAACTTTGCACACGATCCCCGGTTCACCTTGGCGTAATCTTCTCCATTAAACGAAGTGATTTAATTAATACCATTCATTGTTGCATAAGGTTAAAATAGGAAAAAAAACCTAAAACGACTTATATTTGTAAACAAAAGTAAATTGTTTAAACGACTTATATAATGAAACGGGAGGGAGTATATATTTAGATTTGTTCAGGTGTGCCAGGCCTTTGCAATAGTGTGAGGGTGTGACATAGAGACAAGGTCTGGGAGCCCCAACAGGAAGCTGTGGTGGACCCTTCCCAGAGAAAAACTCATTTCATATCATGTGAACAAATGGCCTACGTCTCAGATCTTAAATAGATAAGAACATATATCACACTTGATCTCAGGCAAAAGGACGAGATGGTATGATTTTCTCTTGACTTGAACTCTAGTTGTATCACACTCTACCACTCAATTTGCTCTCTTGTAAACAAAAAATGGAGAGGATTTTCAAGATATAAAAAGAAGATAAAATAAAGGCTTCATTCTGTTCTGTGCATTTATATGGTAGATTAGATCAGTGACACCCTAGCCGTGAGCAGAATTTCAAAATTTGAATCATGGACATGCGCATATAATTTATCATGTCCACCGTGACACTAATAGAATCCACAATGACACACCTTCCTATTACATTTTCCCTTTTGGCTTCAGTTTTTCCTAGGTTCATGTTCATCATTTTCTCCATACCCTCTGTCTATTGCTTTTTTCAACTCACGCTGACTCAGCAATATCTATATGACTATATCTATATATAGAATACATGATACTCATGTAACAACCAAACGTAAAATGCATCATAATGCCTCTCATTACACCCTAACGAGACTGTGTATTAAACATATGGTATATCTTTTATGTATAAATATCGCTCTGCTACATGTTTGACAAGTGTTTGATTAAATGCCAATGAGAAAATCCAAAGAGACCACTATAAAATAAACCACCAAATCAACTAACCTGAAGGTTTGCCGAATGAGAGATGATTGATCGAAGATCGGCTATGAGATCCAATCATAATGGATAAAATAATCCTTCTTTCGAATCATAATTTAGAGATAAAAGAGCAGAACGTTTGAGTAGGAAGACATTAGTAAACTCGCGCTCTCGAGTCTGAACTCTTTCGAGAGAAATTTTCTTAAAGTTTGCGTCCATGGGCCGGGCCGGGCTGGATGACTTTTTTTTATTCTTTATCTAAATGAGAGAGACTTGAAACCAGTTTTAGAGGTCACTTTTTTTGTCATCTAGTGGAGCA